CACACTTCTTGGGGTTAAGCATGACCTTGTGCCGCCTGAGTGTGGTGAAGGTTTCTCGGAGGTCAGCTAGGTGATCCGCCTGGAGCTTGGATTTGACTATCATGTCGTCTATATACGCCTCTACATTCCTTCCGATTTGATGGATGAAAACCGTGTTGATCATTCGCTGGAAGGTAGCAGGCGCATTCTTCAACCTAAACGACATCACCGTGTAGCAATACAACCCCTGATCAGTGACGAAGGCCGTCTTTTCCTGATCCTTCTTCCATAGGGGAATTTGATGGAAGCCTGAGTAGACGTCCATGAAGCTCATCAGGGCATGGCCGGCTGTAGAGTCAACCAGACTATCTATCTTAGGAAGCGGGTAGCTATCCTTTGGACATGCCCTGTTTAGGTCAATGTAGTCTACACACATTCGCCAGGTACCATTCGGTTTTTCGACAAGGACCACATTAGCTACCCAATCCGGGTAATAGCATTGCCGAATGAACCCAGCGTCGAGGAGCTTTTTGACCTCGGCGGCTGCCGCCTGTGACCTCTCCTCTCCATGATCCCTCTTCTTTTGCCTAACTGGCTTTATTTTGGGATCAACAGCTAGCTTGTGGACAGCTAGATCCGGGCTGACGCCTGGCATCTCTTCCACTTCAAAGGCGAAGAGGTCTTTGAACTCTCTCAGGAGTTGGAGCAAGTCTGCCCCCAACTTTTCAAAAGCAACCGTCCCAACTTTAATGGTTCTGTCAGGACGGCTGTCGTCCAGGACGACATCAATGCTTTCACCAGCCGGCTGGGGACGGGAGTCATCCAGCCTTTCCCCGGCTAGTGATTGCTATTTCATTTTCTTAGCGGGGGCTAATAGGTCCGCCTTTCTCTTTGTACCGCCTGCCTTAGGGACATGCCCGGCTTCTTTGTCATCGAGGTCAGTAGGTTCCTCGGTGGGGCCGGCTGCATGGGCAGTCGGCCTAACGTCTGAGAGATAGCACTCTCTAGCCGCCTTTTGGTCCCCGCTTAGGGAGCCTACTGACCCATCATCCCTCTCGAATTTTATCAGCATGAGGGAGGGGATGATTACCGCCTTGGACTCATTGAGGGTTGGACGTCCCAATATGAGGTTGTAGGCAGTCAACTCTTCGACTACCAAAAACTTGACGACCATGTGTCGCCCTTCCCCCTTGCCTCCCAGCCGGATGGGTAGGTCTATCCTACCTACCGGATGCACTACCCTACCTCCAAATCCGACTAGGGGGTGGGGGGCCTTGTGCATACTGCTGGGCTTGTATTTCAGCTTCGCCAAGCAGCGATAGCTTATCAGATCAGACGAGCTCCCGGTATCGATTAGGATCCGGCCAACTCGTTGATTGGCAACTTTACATTCGATGACAATGGGGTCATCGTGGGGCCGCCTGACCGTACCCCTGTCTTTCTCAGAGATGAAGACTTCTGGGAAGACGTCTTTCGACGCTTGGTGGGGCCACCACTAGTGAAGCCGCCTGCAATGGTGTAGATATGCTCTTCATCTGTGTCAGAGCTCACCACCGGCTTCTTAGACGATTGCCCTCCATTTGTAGGGTTACCCTTGGACTTTGTCAGGTAGGACTTCAAAGCCCCCTCATCAGCCAATCGGTCCAATAGCCGCCTGAGGCTGTAGCAACCATTGGTGTCATGGCCAATGTCCTCATGGAATTGGAAATACTTGCTCTTATCCCGATTCTTGACAGCGCTCTTTAGAGGAGCCGGCTTTTCAATGGTCAAGCGGTTTTTTATCTCCATGAGGATGGAGGAGCAGTCCTTGTTGAACTCGTACTTGGGGACACACGGTTCCAACTTCTTTTTCTTTTTCTGGGATGACTGACCTGGGCGGTCAGCTACCCAGATTTCTTTTCTTTTCTTTTCTTTTCTGGCCGGTTGATGGAACGGCTTTCCTTTACGTCAGATCGCATAGGTTCTAACGGGTGCTTGACGGCACAGAGCTCCATCGCCTGTATATAGGCTTCAGCCTCCATTAGTGCCTCCTGGAGTGTAGCAACCCTCTTGCGAACTAAGTCGAACTTGAAAGTCGACCCATCTTTCAGACCCTTGAAGAAGTATGTGTACGCGACTTCGTCAGATAGTCCTTGTATCTGAATTCTCATCAGATTGAACCGCCTGACATAGGACCGAAGTCCCTCCTTGTCACCCTGCTGGATCGCCCCTAGGTCGAGACTGGTTTTCATGGCCGGGATGTTCATGGAGAAGTTGGACGCGAACAGATATGCAAGCGTCTTAAAGTTATTGATGCACCCAGCCGACATGTTGCTGAACCACCGTTGGGCTATGCCTTTTAGTGTTTCCGGGAAGCATCGACACCAGGCGGCGTCGTCCAACCCCTGTAGGTACATGAGGTTGGTGTAGGCCATCAGGTGGTCTTCCGGGTTGGTGGTACCGTCGTAGGTACCTACCAACACATTCTTAACCTTAGCCGGCTGTGCCGCCTCGGTTATTTCCCGGGAGAAAGCCGAAGGCTGTTCTCCTAGGTTTAGCAGGCGGAGCTGCCAGTCCATGGGCTGGACGATGTTTGCCGCCATTCCCCCAAAAGGAGAATGCTGCATGTATAGTGATCCAGCTCCATATGGTTGCTGAGGCACAAATGGAGCCTGGTGGATCACATGAGGAGCAGTACGGACGGACGTGCCGTGCGTCTGGCTCCTAGGGTGAGTTTCCGAATGCTTGATCGAAGAATTACGGAAACTGTCTGGGTATGTCGACGTAGAAGCCGTCTGGGACATACTCTGACCTCTCTTATCCTGGATAAACAACCGGGCATCTGTGAAGGTCTTTTTTGACCCATCCGGCTGTATTTGCCGGATGGCCTTTCGCAGCCCTGATTCAGGGAAACGAATTTTTGAAAGGTCAATTAAGGGCCCATCCCCCCCTTTGGGCTTCGGGTGAGGATTAGGCACCCGGTCTTTGATTGGCTTCTTTACTGAAGCCCTCTTGGCCGACTGGCCCTTGCTGGAACCAGCTGACTTTTTGATGATGTCGGTGATTTCCCCTTTGATGTTACTCATGAGGTTCATGAGCTCCTCTCTGGTGACGGAGGCCGACTTCTCCGCCGCCTGGGGTTGTCCGGTATGCTTGCCGCCTGGGTTGTTGGGGCAAGCCTTGTATTGGTCCCGTTCCTTCTTTTCTTTGGAATGGGTGTGCCTGGAGCGGAAAGACCCGTCAGGGGCCATATAGGTTTCGACATTGTAGTCGTCTCCACTTCCGCTTTCATGGTCCGTGTGGACCTCAGGGTCAGCCGTGGGTCGGCTTCCCTCTACGTTTGGTACATTTTCAGATGCCATCCAAGTGGTACTCTCCCCACAGACGGCGCCAAATGTTTCGGGGTTTTCTGAGGTGTCCTACGGGAGACTTACAGCACCGGGAATGTACGCCTGACTTATGTACCTGCAAAACCACGAAACTCCGGTTGGGTGGAGTTTCGCCTCCGAAGGTCAAGTTAGTATGATTCCGGATGAAATTACGTGCAGAAGGTAGATTGGTTCTCTCGGATTCCGGGAAATTCCGCAATTAATATTGCTCGGGTTTTGCGGGCGTATTTATGAATACCAATAAATGAGGTAGATTCCTCTTTTTATAGCAGATGGGTCTGCTCCCCTATTGGGGGTACAATGCCACGTGGCATCCATTGGTTGGATGCCCATGGTGCAATAGGGTGATGACACGTGTCAGACCCCTATAGGGCCACGTGTCCAGGGTAATTTTTACCCTAAACAGAGTGCATATCAGTGCATAGAACCTATTGACAAACGAAGTGTATAGGAGGGCAGAAGCGTAATTAATCAGGAATTAGAAAACTTGAATATTCTACTTAACTGTGCTAGTGGTACATTTAATACTCCAAAAATGTACCACTGAAATCACATTGGTACATTTAATCAAAGTGGTACGTACGTTTTGTACTTTGAATTGTACCACTAGAAAACCAGTGTCATCCTATACACTTTCTAAGCACATAGGTGCTATGCGCTAATACTTATTCCTCCTTTTCATATCCATTACTAAAAACGAGTCCCTTGAGATTTTGATAGACGATAACTCGAACAAAGGTGATGCTATAACGTAAACAAAATGCACGCTATCATCTGATTCGTAATAATCTGATTCCAGTGTTTTATCAGCACATTCAGGACCCTCATTTGCATCGTGTGCAATCTCTCCAATGAAATTAGCAAATTCACTTGTAGACATTGTATGTGGGAGTAGACTTGAGAATTCAATCTGTAATTTCACTTTTAGAACTTAAAATATTAACATTAATGTTTCATGATTTATCCAAACATTAAAAAGGTAATTAGGCTCTTTGATTATAGGGAAGAAGGGTCCAATTTCATAGTTCAAATTGAGCAAAATCGAATATTATTAGGCTCTATGATTTTAGGGAAGAAAGGTCCAATTTCAATTTCATAATTACGCAAATTTGATTCAAATATCAAATCAAGTTCATAATTTACTGCTATAGGAGCATAGTCGAATTTAGAAATTATAATTAAAAGTTCATCAATCGAGTTTATAACAACCCTACATTGAGTATACTGAGAGTTAAATTGACGATGAACCCTAGATTATGAAATTAATAATTCGATGATTACAACCATTATCTTACCTCGGAAGCAACTTCAATGAAAGATATACAGAAGGCGCCGCAATGGAAAATGTGGAGTGCGCTTCAATCGACTCAATAAGTCAAATATTATTTTTATTTTAGATCAAATGAGGGAAAAAAAATAAATGGAGTATTAAAAAAATTGTAAAAGAAAGATAATAATTTTAATAGTTTATTGAAAAATAATAAAAAATAAAAAGGGAAATTTTCAACGGTAACCCCCAACTTCTGCTACGCATCAATGGTGACCTCCTTTTTTTTTATTATGCAAAATGACCCTAATTAAGAAATTTATCTTCCATATAACATTAATGAGTGTTATAAATTTTTTAAAAAAACTAACTATGATTAGCTTTAAAGAAAAAAAAAAACCTAAAAATAAAAATCACCAACCCAACCACCACCTTCACCCTCATCCCCACCGAATATAGTCAGCACCACCTCCACCCTCACCGGAGCCACCAAACCCCCTCATTTGAAACGCCGACCTCCCACCCAAACTGCCGAACCATCGCCTCCACCCTTTCCACCGCCTAGACCTGAACCCTAACCTCACAAATCTCTCTCCTTTGACCATTCCTTCACTAACCTTCGATCCTCGCCGCTTCGCCATTGGGTTGGTTAGTTTGGGTCGAGGAGGGATGGTGGGTTTAGGTTTGAGGTTTCGATTCTAGGCAGAAGATGGCGGAAGATAAAGAGAGAGGGTGGAGGAGATGGCGGAGAAGAAAGAGAGAGAGATCGGTGGTTTAGTGGTCTGGAGGTGGTCGTGTTTGGGTTCGATGGTCGGGGTTCTGAGTTCGACAACCTAGTGGTGGTGACGGTGAGAAGGACGAGAGGGAGAGAGGGTTGTGGGTGGGGATTTGGGAATTTGGCTTGGCGGTGGTTGAGGTGGAGTTGGCGCAGTGTCACCAGCGTTCGGGGGAGTCTGGGTAGCGTCGCCGGCAATCGATGGAACCTAGGGTAGTGTCGCCGAAAGGGAGATGGTGGCTGGGCAGGTGGTGGCTGGTTTTTGGTGGTTGGGGTTAATTTTTTTTAACTTTTTTTTTATAAAAAATATAATTCTAACCATAGTTAATATTTAATGAAATAAGGTTTTGAGTGAGATAAAATTTTTAACTAAGGTAATTTCGTATAACAAAAAAAGGAGATCACAGTTGCTGCATAGGAGAAGTTGGGGTCACCGTTTTCCCTTATATCTTCCCTCTTTGTAGCCCGTACTACCAAACGCCCCGTAATTGCGATTGAACGTACTGTGTCTTATCCATGGCGGTGTCACTGAACCACAGCTGCTACCCTCTTCATCATCAACATCATCGTCTCCATTTTCATTCTCATTCGTTCTTCCACATATCTCTCTCCTCTTCTATTCCCAACAAAAACTCCAAATTTCCCAAATTCAAAAATAAATCTTGTCGAAATCCCATTTTCAAAAATTCCCGGCAAAATCTCGTAATTCCTCCGATTTTCATGCTTGCTCTTTTCGACAGACCTCCCGATACCCAAACTTTCTTGGTTACTGTCAGCGTCTTGCTTGCAATTACACTCTCTCTCTTCCTTGGCCTTAAGGTACTCCTTAATTTTAGTATTTTTGAGCTGAATTTTGTAATGGAATTTTTGATTTGATTTTATTGCCATTGAATTAATTGCATTAAGAATTTGGTATTGGCTTTTCATTTCGCGTTAAAGTACCCATGTCGGATCTTTGACACTTTATTTTGATCATGAAATGGCCAACAAGTCCGAGTAATATGGTTTCAAATTGAGTTTTTGATCAATTTATGTTTGTAATAATTATGTGAGTTGTGAAACAAGGAGTTTGAATTTTGACATAAACAGTTGATGAAAGCATTGTGGAAGAAATAAGTAAATAATATGAAATTGATTGTAAATGTTTATCCTATTTAATTAGGGTAATAAATCTGGTGCATGATTTATAATTACTTCTACTTTGTGAAGTACTTCGTAATATTTGGTAAGAACAATAGCATTTTGTGATTAGTTGCTCAATGTACTTGTATTTTCAATCAATTTATAATGTTGCTGCAAGCATCAACATGACAACCACCATACATGTATCCGGTAGGGGTCTTGGGCAGCCAAGAGCGTGCACAACCTTAATCTCGAGTCCTCAACCTTTGCAATTAAAACTAGTTTAGGAGCTGTTTTTGATTGAAATGCAAAGAAAAGATTATTTTTTGGTCTAGTTTAGTGTTAGATCCGGCCTCCAAAGGTTGCAATAACATTCTAACAAAGTACTAATCCCAACTAATTCAAGCAATTTAGTGGAGTTTTAATACTGCTGTTCAATGTTGGTACTGACAGGAGCATTTTTCTGTTCTAGATATAAGTGTTGATGGGTGAATAACTGATAGGCTTTTGCAGGGCGATCCTGTTCCTTGTGATCGATGTGCAGGAAATGGTATGCTCTTATCTTCATTCCCCAAACCTGTCTTAAGTTTTATTTTTACCAACTATGAAGAAGTACACTATAGGAGTGAAAGCATGTTTAGTGTTGGACTGTTGGTGAATGCAGATCTTACGATTTGCACATTTATTTTTGCAATTTGCATTAGAAACTTTTTCTGTATGCAAATGGAAGGTTGACGTTTTATACTTTTCTACACTTCTATCTGTTAACTGAGAACTTGATTGACTCTTTGTGGCATTCAAAGATTGAAAACTTCAAATAGTCGAAGCATTTTTACTATGAACCAGCAGTGTTTGAAAAAGATTTGCCTCTTGATATACAGGGGGTACAAAATGCGTATTTTGCAATGACGGAAAAATGAAGACAGAAAAAGGACAGATTGATTGCAAAGTCTGCAAGGGTGCAGGTATTGATTCACGATGCTAAAACTTCACATACATTCGTCATTGTTACTGTTTCAAAGAGAGGAGTTAGATTTTATTAGGTGCTAGTTAGCCAGTAGTTTATTTGACTATGCTACTTCAAATCTTCAGTTTGAGTTACATTACATAACAGTGTCTGACACTTGATTCTCTATTAAGGGTATGAAATCCTTACTTGACACTTCAATTTCATTCAAACACTATAATAATACGTAGTATGGTTCTAATATTTGGCAATAAATTTTCCTGTCGAAATATCAACAAACCTTTGCCAGACTTTAGCTGGAAAACCCTCAAGAGTTCTAGGTAGGACTCCCCAAACTGTAGTAGGTATAAGTGTAAAAAACTTTAATCCATATCCTTCACAATTGGTAGGGATTTCTTTTTAAGTGAACAATTGATAGCCACTCTTACACTGCTTTAATATGGAGGACAACTTTCACTGTATATACAATCTGCATACAAATGAACACGAGCCTCTGGAGCTGAACCACAGACAGAGCATAGTTAATCAGCATTTACACCAATCCTTAAAAGCCTGTCCTTGGTCTATCACCCGCCTAGCACAATGAGCCTATTAATATAGTGTTTAAGAATAGAGTATCAATTTCAAACACTGTATACCAGGGAATATGGGAGTATCACCAGCCATTTCAGGGTAGACTTTTTGATGGAGTTTTTCGGGCCTCTTTGTCAAGTATGCAGCCTTGGCTATATAAGTTCATCTCATCCTTAAACTGCAAAGTTGTGAAGGAAAATTTTAAAAGCTATGGAAAGAGGAGATAATTATGCTATATATGCTCAGATATTGGCTTGAGATAAAAAAAAAACAACAGAAGTTCGCAGATCAATCAAACTTTTAATGTGTGTATTGTAATATGGAAACCCCGTGAAAACAGTTTTGAAAAATTAGGCAAATGTTTTATGCATGCTCTGAGTCTAATTCTTGAAAAGTGGCCATGGCCGAAGTCTTGAGTCGTGGTGTGCCTTACACTCTATATTTGCCCTCCCAACACAAGATCTGTGTCTGAGACTCTGAGACTTCTGAGTAACATAGGTCATCAAATATCTTCAATGCAGATTATCTTTAGCTGCTAAAGCACAACAGTGTTTGAAGATTACACAGTCTGAACCTAATCTTTGTATCTTTTCTCTTTTCAGGTATGGTACTATGCAAGAAATGCGCAGGATCTGGATATTCCAAGAGGCTATGAGGTGTATAAAGCTGGTATCTGCATCTGCTCTTGGCAAGAATGTAATGTTAGCTGTGAAATTCTATATTCTTACTGTAACCTATTCCCATCATAAGATTCGGAAGATTGTTGCTCGCTTGTAAATTTTTTTATTAACAAATTTGCACATTATAGTCAAGTTCTATGCATCAGTTGCAATTTTGTGAGATGCCCTTCTTAATTGCCTGCTTACTTTTCTTTCAATTTCTGCAGTTTGGGGATTGCTCAATGCCACTATTGTCAAAAAAAAATTTCATACACCTTCGGCATATTGCAGTTTCTTCAATTCTGGAAGTCAAGTCATATACAGTTCATGTTGTTTTAAATTACTATTTCATGATGGCAGCATTTACGAGTTTATGAATTATCGGTCACAATTTGTTTGATATTTATCCATAGTTGCTAACAAATTTTATCAAGTTTCTCAAGAGAGATAAATCTAAGGAGTAGTGATTTAAGATTTTCTGTGCCTGCACCCTTCTTAAGATGTAATGTGCACAACATCGATCACATGTGGTGCTCCCCTGGAGGCCAAGAAAAGTGCCGAAACCATGTCCATTCACCCTTGTATCACTTGAACATGCTAATATCTTACACACCAAGGCTATTGATCATGTAGCTCCATAAATTAATACATACGAAGTATTAACAATTCATCTACTCACTTGGTATTACAAATTAAAAGGGATTGGATCCTCTAATGTGTAATGCTTTGTTGTTGTTCACTTTATAAAATGAGACAAAATCACAAAATTCATAGATGAAGGCCTCAAAGCCCTTAACTCTAGATCCATTCCTTCTCTTATTCCATCCACAACATCAATCAATCACTTGTGCTACAAAAATGATTGTCAAAACCATCTTTGTTTATCCATGTATCATTCTAACATCCTACTTAATCAATATAGAATCCTATTAGATTAACCTAAGATGACTCTGGGTCGGGACTCGGTAAATACATAATCTCGACTATACGTAGGATGCCTTTTCAAAAACTATGACACGAGAAGTAGCCAGTGGGTTGGGTGTAGTCTACCACAAAACATTCGTGGTCGGCACCAAGCACAGCCTTGAGGCTAGGGCCATTCTTAAGTCTGGTTCTCAAAGGCAACATTGAGTCATTGATGCAATGAGTATTTGGAAAACTTTAAGTATAAAAAAAGACCGAGGGCAGAATAGTCATGGAAATAACTTTCAAATTGGCTCCGCTCCACAGTCCCCAATTTCAAAAACAAAACCCCTCTATTTGACCGTTAGATTCAGATCCTCCATTCCTTTAATTTCAAAATTGTCAGCCATTTTTGCTTTCTTCCACTCTCTCTCCTCACTCAGAAACCCTAATTACGCCATTACTGATGTTCAAGATTCCCTTCTTCTCCGAGACACCGAGTTCAGTGAAGACTCGGACTGGGTTTCATGACCCGCCCGAGTCAGCTCGGGCTACTCCGAGCATCGCCAAATCTATGTCTCGCGATAACTTGTTGCAGTCTTCAACAGTTCGAAATTTCAATGATAGAGAAGAATTTCTCGATTCTGCTAACAATGCGTTAGTTGTTCGTAGTTTTGATTTGCCCGAAGATCCTTCTTTCTGGAAAGATCACAATGTTCAGGTTTGATTTCAAATCATATAATTCCATTTGATTTTTAGCTCTGTTTTTTGTTGTGTTTTTCGAAAATCTGGGGTTTTTAATTTCTAGTTTAAGTTGTGAATTTGTGGAAAGAATGCGAGTAAATATGATCGAATTAGGGTTTGAACTTTGAATTATTGGTGCAAAGTGAGCTCAATTTAAAGAAAAACTAAAGTGAATCGATTAAATGATGTAGTCTTTGTTACTTGATGAAGAATGCGAGTAAATATGATCGAATTAGGGTTTGAACTTTGAATTATTGGTGCAAAGTGAGCTCAATTTAAAGAAAAACTAAAGTGAATCGATTAAATGATGTAGTCTTTGTTACTTGATGCTTACTTATTAAATTTAGTTGAGCATATTTTTTGTTTAGAATTATCATGTTGTGCTTTTGCATGATCGCAAATTGAAGCAGTGCTTTGGATTTAAGTTCTCGAGTTTGCAAATTGCAGATGATGATTGAGTTTTATGCAAAGTTTGCTGTCTTCCCTAAGATTGACTAACATTCAATTGTTGATGTTACAACTTCAATGAGCAGGTTATTATTAGACTTCGCCCACTCAACAATTCTGAGATATCACTGCAAGGCCAAAATAGGTGTGTTAGGCAAGAAAGTTCTCAAAGTATTACATGGACCGGACATCCTGAATCACGATTCACTTTCGATGTTGTTGCTGATGAAAATGTTACACAGGTCTTATTCCTCTTTCATATTGTATAATATTTGTTATTATTCTATCTTCATCTGATCATGTTTACTGACCCTATCTGTACGAGTGTACGATTGCTGATGAATTCTGTTCATGTGATTGATCAGGAAAAGCTTTTTAAAGTGGCTGGGGTGCCTATGGTTGAAAACTGTGTGGCAGGGTACAATAGCTGCATGTTTGCTTATGGACAAGTAAGCCATTATGCCTGTCTATGCCTATTGTATTTACATACAACTCGTCTTATTTTTGTAATCGTGCATTGATTTATGCATGTAATAGGCTTGCGACTTTAGTTCGATCTAGTGGTCTAGCTCTATGGATGTTTTATTACTTTGATGTCCAGTAGAATATGAAAAAATGAATTTCATTAAGCTACTAATTTTGGTGTTTGAAAAGATTATTTTGTTTTTTTATGCTAAGGCTTTTTATTTGGGAAGTCAAAAAAAAAAAAAAAAAGGGCAAGTGCACTCTCATAGTCTCATGTAATTTTCTCTTCTGGGAAGCATTGTGTAGTGTGTTTTTGTTCTCTACTGAAGTTGCAATGTTCTGCTCTAATTATATTTTATAAAGGCTCTGTAACTTTGCATGTCCTATTGGCAGACTGGAAGTGGGAAAACACACACAATGTTGGGAGATATTGAAGGTGGCACTCGACGACATAGCATTGATTGTGGAATGACACCTAGAGTGTTTGAGCATCTCTTTTCCAGGATCCAAAAGGTATTTTCTTCTGAAAAAGATATTGTGAGAAAATTGTGGTTTGAATATTTATTACTTAAATATCTTCCATTATAGATTCGTCTGTTTGAGTTGCAATGGCTATGACTATCTAGCACTGATATTGAATTAGATCAAGTCAAAAGTTATATGTATCTGTTATAAATTATAGATTACTTACAGCATTTTTAAAAAATTGCTGTTTAATTCTTTCTCAGACATAGGGTTAGTGTACAATTATATGCCTATATATGCTTGCTTCACTCTTTATAGTTTATATAGATTAGTGACATTACTCTATTAGTCCATGTAGTTTATATAGATAACCAAGAACATGAAATCTGATTATAGTATATACTACTTCAAATTTCATTTGTGATCTTGTTTCTTTACTTTTGATGGAATGTGAAGAACTCGTTAACAATAATATAGTAATATCACAGGAAAAAGAGGCTCGGAGAGAAGAAAAGTACCGTTTTACTTGTAAATGCTCATTCTTGGAGATCTACAATGAACAAATCCTTGATCTTTTAAACCCTTCCTCAACGAACTTACAGGTAAGGATCATGTGAATTGCAAGCTATGAAATCACTTTTGTTATCAATTTTAATTTTTTGTATCTCATATATAGAGCCGTAATGAGCATTGTAAAAGTGAGGTCATAAACTTGTTTCTCTTTTGTTGTGCTTATCAGTAGGACTGAGGATCGAGTCTCTGGGTTGATGATTATTAAAGTATAAATTGTCATGTTTTATTGTCCAGTTGCTTCCTTTCAAAGCTTATGCTCCTCATTTTTCAGATAAGAGAAGACTTGAAGAAAGGCATTCATGTTGAAAATCTAACTGAGTTAGAGGTCACTAGTGCTCGAGATGTTATGCAACAGCTTCTTCAGGTATTGATCAACCTAACTAAACACATACTCAACCTACAGAAGACCTTGATTATATTGTACAAGCATAATCAAGTTTGCATGGTGATAGATAATCTTTCGTTCTTTGCTAAAGTCTAAAGTTTAGGTTCGGTTTTGGTGAGAGCATGATTTGTTAAGGAGCCAATCTCAAGTATTCTCAACCCTTGACATGATTTTTGACCTCTTAAAATATGCCTCTTTACTAGGGGCCTCCTGAATGAGTTACAACAATAAACTTTACACATATGTCACTTTGACAAGGTTGCAAATTAACTAGGAGCCTCTAGGATGACTAGCAATAATACGTATCAACTAGTAAAATTCTGTGATGATTCCACTTGTCATCTTCAAAACTAGAATATGAACTCGTGAATGGTGACTGATATCTTTCAAAATTAGAATATGACAATCTCGGAATATGTTTCAAAGTCTCTAAGGTGACTGATATCTTAATCGATGCCTGTTTTTTACGAATTCTATATACAAGTGCCTAATGCAGGAATGTTAATGGTTGTCAGGGTGCTGCAAACAGAAAGGTGGCTGCCACTAACATGAATAGAGCAAGTAGTCGTTCTCACAGTGTATTCACCTGTGTTATTGAGAGTACTGTAAGTATTTTCCCTCTAAGTCTAGTAGGTGTAAAAAAAACAGCTCTTTTATAGTGCAGAATTTTCTAAGTTTGAAATTTAAGTGCTTAATGAATGGTGGTGAAACTGCAGTGGGAATCCCAAGGTGTAACACATCATCGCTTCGCTCGACTAAATCTTGTAGATTTAGCTGGCTCTGAAAGGTAAAATCATAAATTGCAACTCGTTGCTAGTACTAGACTAATACAAAAGAAAGAAAATAGAAAGAGAGAAATTATTGTTCTAGAATCTAGTCTTCTTGTTGAGTGTTTTACTGCTATCTATTTCAAGTCTTAGCCTCACAAAGATTATCATTACAGGCAAAAGAGTTCTGGTGCAGAAGGTGACCGTCTTAAAGAAGCCACAAATATCAATAAGTCACTGTCAACTTTAGGGTCTGTTTTTCCTTCTTTCAATTAAAACTATATAGCAGTAGCTCACAGTAAAGAATTTATCTCTTGATTGTCCTTACTTTTTATAATGCTTCAGACTCGTGATAATGAACCTCGTGAGCATATCCAATGGAAAATCCCATCACGTGCCATATCGAGATTCAAAATTAACCTTTTTGCTTCAGGTATTTTTTAACTCAATTTTTTGCTCATTAAGCTGCCAAGGAATCCTATTTGCAAGTCTGACTTGGGCTGTACTTTGGAATTCAGGACTCACTTGGAGGGAATGCGAAAACCACTATAATTGCTAATATTAGTCCATCCAGCTGGTTAGTGCTTCCTGCATCCCTTTTCTTTTTAACTGTCACTTTCATCTATAATGTATCGGGAATCTGAACCAGGCAAAGTGTTCAGTTTGTAGCTCATACACATGGTAGTGTTGATTTAGCAATCTCGAATATTTCTCTTCTATTTTGAGGTGATGGCAGAGTTTATAATTTTGCTTAAGCAGATACAGAGTATTTCCTGTTTTTCTTTATCTCGAGTTCCAAGTATAGAAGGTAGATTTTTCTGTGTTTAGAACTTTATTCCTTGATATAACTTTTCGGCTTCTTGCAGCTGCTCACTGGAGACTCTTAGCACCCTGAAGTTTGCTCAGCGTGCTAAATTTATAAAGAACAATGTATGTTGTCAGGAAATCTGTACTGCTTTGTGTTAGGCTAAGTTGGTTCTCTTTAGATATTTGCCATTAATTCTCTAAAAAAATATTAACTGGTAAGCTTCATGTTCATTAATTATTATATTTATATCCATTTGTTCAACCTATCAGGCCATTGTAAACGAAGATGCTTCTGGTGATGTCCTTGCCATGAGAATGCAAATTCAGCAATTGAAGGTATCTCTATCTTATATCTTCCCAGGAACTAATACAATAGAGAATTTCTTCTAAGAGAAGCATAAGATTATATTAATAGACACATATTTTATAGGTTGTGCAAAAATGCAAAAGTCTTGTTGCCAAACAATCTCAATTCTCACTTGAATTTGTACCAATCTTTTTATTTTTAGTACATTAGTATAATTTCTGTCTTCATGTTTCAAATATTTTTCAGAAGAAAATTGTTAAGCTGTTGTTGGATTGGTGTTGGATATCATAACGAAGTTAAATTATATGAACCTTGTCTGAACTCATCTGATTTATCATGGTGCAGAAAGAAGTGTCACATCTGCGTAGTTTACAAAATGGAGGAGCTGGAAATCAGGATAATGATGCCATGACATTGGGTTTTCTAGGATCACCTGGGGCTTTTAAGTGGGAAGGTCTTAATGGTTCTGTGACTCCCCTAACCTCTAATAAAAGACTGTCCCAGGTTTGTGTTTTTGTTGCTTCAATATGCTGTACACTGCACATTTTTGCGTCAAGTTTCCTCTTACCAAGTTCGATGGTGTTCTTCAGAAGAAAGAAATTGAGGTTGCTCTTGTTGGGGCATTTAGGAGGGAAAAGGATAAAGACATGGCATTGCAAGCACTCACTGCTGAAAACCAGGCAGCTATGCAGCTGGTATGTAGAAAAAGAACCCTATATGCTATATTGCCATTCAACTATTCCTTGTATGTTGAAAAAACTAGGTTATTTTTATATGTGCTTTATACATTGTAGCTTATCAATCTATTCAATATTCATCTATTCAACCCCTTTCAGTAGTGTAATACTATGCTGGCATGCTATCCATTCTGTCTTTGTTGCCTGTCAATGAAGTGCATGGATTTCTTTTCTAGCAAATATTTGCTATAGCAGGGAGGTGAAAGAGTCAGATGGGTTTACCTTTGAAATTACACAGAAGCAATTAACTGTAGACACATGACCTTTCTGGCAACTTAATCTTACTAATTCCCAGCAAACATAATGTACAGGACCATTTAGTGAGAGTTATCCAATTATGTCCATTAGGGACTTTCAAGTTTGTGAAATATGAACATTATTAATTGTGTAATATTGTGCTGGCATAGTGGCATGCTATCCATGCTATCTCAGTTGTCTGTCAATCAGGTGAACTGATTTCATGTCACTCTAAGTGCCCCAGTCCCGATGATGTGCAAAAATCTTTAGTGATTAGCTACTGTGCTAAATCCAACTGCTTAAAACATCAGCATAAAACATTTAATATGATATCTTTTATGTTTTCACAAAAGTGTGATTTAACTTGTCGGTTCCATACCTCATGATGTCGGTAATTACAAAGGAACTTTGATCTGATATAATACGCTGATTAGGCAAAACAAAGACAAGATGAAATACAAGGCCTGAAAATGAGGCTCAGGTTCAGAGAAGCAGGGATAAAGAGATTAGAAGCTGTTGCCTCTGGTAAGATCTCTGCAGAGACCCACTTGCTAAAGGAAAAAGAGGAACACTTGAAAGAGATTGAGGTCTTGCGTGCTCAAGTTAATAAGAATCAGGAGGTGACAAGATTTGCGATGGAAAATCTGCGTTTGAAAGAAGAAATTAGAAGGTATGTCCTTCCAGCCATCATGTGCCTGTGATGTCCGTCGAGTCATTCTGTCATCAAGTGCTTGAACTTTTAATGGCCCTTTCCCTAGACTTCTACAAGAAATTTAGCAGAGACTAAACCGTATGTGTATAGTGGATAGCCACAGAAGAGTAATAAGTCACAACAGAGATCATTGCAATCCTGTTTATATGTTTCAAGAAATCACTACATATACTTTAAGTACAGCTAATATGTGTGTTGCTCGACAGATTACAGTCTTTCTGCGAGGAAGGTGAAAGAGAAAGAATGATCGAACAGATAAATACCTTGCAGAACAAGGTCTTTAATTGATCACTCTCATTTCATTCTATCTGCTTCTTGTAAATGACTAGCAGGCTTTACAATTTTTTTAAACAATGTGCAGTTACTTGAAGCACTTGATTGGAAGCTTATGCATGAATCAGAACCATCCAATGCTCAGGTGCCTTTAATGATTTTTATTTAGATTTTTTTTATCATGTTAAGTTTACTTCACTTGCGACTCACAAAACGTGACATGCATCAGCAGAAAAGGAGTCCTTGTTTGCTGACAGACAGTCCAAGCGATTTGGACCAGCTCAACTTTAACAAGGTAGGATGTCATACTCATGTGATCTATTCCATTAGGAAACCTTTAACTATTACTAATATGTGTTCAAATTTGGAGTACTTTCCAATTGGCATAATGATATTTGAAGAGATTGATAAAAAAAAAGATATGCTAGTATACGTAGCTGCTGAGTGCTGACTGTATATCTGCATATAATATCTTGGGGAGCAAATATTAGGGATGTAAATGCTGACAGACTGTATATCTGCATATAATATCATAATTCCGTATTATGTAACTGAATGTTTGCTTTATCACCACTTTTTGATTAGTATTTTGCATCTACAATGTTCAATTTCTTCTTAACAATAGTCTTCAGCAATAACATGATGGGATATAAACTTGTAATTGAGGTTTTGGGTATTATCATAAACAAATGGAAAAAAGATTTAAAATGTATGTACAATTGATGATTTGAATTCAAACTAATTTTATAAAACCTCATCCCTGTTGCTGGTCTATTGATTCAGGAATCTGCATCACCTTGGCAATCATCAATCAAAGAGGAAAACGAATTTCTGCGAGTGCAGGTCATTGGAGTGCCTTTTAGATCATTTTTTACTGTAGTTCGATACCTGATTTTTCTGACTTCATTGCTCTAAAAGCTTTGCGCTTCTCCATTGGCTGATGGTCAACTTCTTTTTTTCTTAGGCCATTCAAAACCAGGCAGAAATAGATTCTCTTCGTAAGAAACTCAACTCCTTTGTGGAGGCGAAGGAAAAATTGGAAAGGTGACTGTCTCCATAAACTACTTTGGTCTTATTGATATTACATGCCTGAAGATTCTAACTCATTAATACATTTTTATAATTGGCACAACTTAGAAAAGGAATGGGGGAATAAACTGCCCCTTTTCTTCTGCCAAAGTTGACTGGTATTTGGAAGAATACGAAGTATTAAGTTAATTTGTTGACTTCAGTTCTTTCATTCTTGAGGTCTCTACCAACAAAGATGCAGTGATCAAATAATGATACTTACGTATGATATTTGTGGGATTCCAGAATTCTGATGAGTGCAATTTGCAGAATTCAATTATGTTTTTGTTATGTGATCAGGCTTACCAAAATTTCACATCTTGCAGGCACATCAAGGATTTGGAGGCAGAGTTACAGGAAGTTAGATCTTCCATAAACACAAAAGAAGAAAGCCACCAAATGCAAGCTGATGCTACCTCGACTACAACAAATGACATGAACAACAATGACCAGCAGGAGCTCAAAGCCATGGTAGATGTCATTGCAGCGGCAAGTCAAAGAGAAGCTGAAGCACATGAAATGGCAATCATACTAGCTAAGGAAAATGATGAACTACGAGCTAAGATCAAGGTTCTACTCGAGGACAATAGTAAGTTGATAGATTTGTATGAAAGGGCAGCTGCAGAGACCAGTGAAGTCAATAATGTAGATGCTCAAGGTAACGCCGATGAAGGCCAAAATACTGGATCTGGTGCTATTTCTCAGATAAAAGACGCCGAAATAAAAAGGTTGGAGGATTTAGAGCATCAACTTGCAGAAATGCACGATGAAAATGAGAAACTGATGAGTTTATATGAGAAAGCAATGCAAGAGAAAGATGATATTAAAAGATTGCTTTCATCTGCTGTGCACAACAATACTGCAGAGAGAGGAGAATTCGAGTTCCCAGAGAAGCTTGTTGAGGTTGATGGAGGAAAGTATTTGGAGTCTTCTGAATGTTTTGCTGAAAGCAGCAGTGGCATGAAAGAGCAGCAAATTCTGTCTGCTGACACAGTGGTCTTAGAGGAAACTGACACGTCTAAATGGAATGTGCAGAATACATGTGGCCAGTGTCCACCCACTCCTTTCACAACTGAAATTCAGATGGATGTGGGGTTAGATGAAATCCAGAATATTCATGAACAGCGTCCTATCATGGAGGAAAATTCTTTTGGAACATGTGTTCAGGGCCAGTATGAGACTGGTGAGAGTAATGTCTTGAAAATCCCTCCTATGTGCATCACAAGTATGGTATCCAAGGAAAAGTGCTCTTTTGAGTTTAGTAGTGAGGATACTTATATCCAATGTCCTGGTGATTCTCAGGATGATCTAGATACTAGGGTGCATTTCAGAACTTATTCTGAGACCGTAACAGAGGAGGAACTTGTCCTTGTAAAGAAGGAGCTGGAGAAGGCCCGAGAAAGGCTTTCAAGTTCGGCCCACACTGTCAGTGAATTTGAAACCATTGAGAAAGCAGTACTTCTAGTTGATGCAGTCTCTAGGGAGATTGATGCGTTAAAGGGTCTCTTGCAGTTCAAGCAACAGGAGATTGGATCCCTAAAACCTCTCTCATCAGAGATGCAGGATAGAAGTGCCCTTGTATTTAAAAAGCTTGCAGCACTTAAAGTTTCTATATCAAGTATTTCGTCATCTGTTGCTTACTTCGAACAAAGAGAAGATAGAGCAAAGGCAAGGGTGGATGCCTCAATGTCATCCTTGGGACAACAAAAGGAAAATCTAGTCTGTCTTCAGGTTCAAAGCGATGAAATCAATGCAAAAAGAAGAGAGATCCAAGAAACTGAAGTGGAACTGAGGAACAACTTGTGGCGCCTCAAATCTAAACTTGAGGAGGAAAACCAAAAACAAGAAAGTCAAAGAGTTCTCCTTGCCATTGATAACATTGAGAGAACCGAAGCTCCAGCTCTGATCTGCAGCAAGGCAACTGATTTGCTCAAATCTGAGGAAGAAAAAACCAAATTGCAAAACGAGATCAAGCAAACCCAGGAAAAACTTGGTGTCATCAAGAAGCAGGTTGATGATTTGAACAGGAAGGGCCAAAAGCTGGATAGTGAAATCCAAGTTAAAAATGTAGAGATGCAAAAGACTACAAAATTGTTGCAGGAAAGGGGACTTGCCCTTCAAAATGTCACTAATGAAAAGGCGATGCTTTTGGAGATGAAAGAGAATGGGAAGCCTGAGATTGATGAGATGATAGTTGAATATCAGCAGTGTAGCTTTGAAGAGCATTTCAGAGAAGAAGAGCTGATGATACTTGAAGAAGATATGTACATGTTGTCATTAAAATTAGCTATATTTGAGAGCGAAAGAGAAGTTGCGGTTAAGAGAGCAACCCAACTCTTGTACAGAGAGCAACACCAAACAGGCCTTCCGTCAGAAAGAATGCGACAAGAACTTGAAGATGTTCAGAAATCAATTCTAGAAGCTAATACATTACTCTTAGCCGAAAAGCCAGCTGACTGTCAAGTGGTTTTGTCAGCCAGTTCCCATAGGAATTCATGACCTTCAAAATACTGAAGCAGCTTAAATTTTGCTTTACCAAGCTCGCTGTATGTACTATGTTAAAAGTCCAAGATTCATGTTGTACTGAAACTCGCAATTCAAAAAGTAAATGACGAATTCAGTGATTAATTCATCATTCAAATCTTCAATAGTTGGCATAATTAATAATTCATGCTTTACAATTCACATACTAATGTTTTATTACTTGTCAAGTTTAATTAATTATCAATGTATTTATTACTTTCTAGTTTGTGTAACTACTAATTAGCAAGCTTACCATTGAAGAAACCAGATGGTGTCAAAGCCATGTCTACTACTTGCACGGATGTACCTCAATTTAAATTATTGAACAAGATAAATGAAACTGTCACAATTCACAAGACACATTTTCTCATTCACATTGAAAACTTACATATAGACTTCCGGCCTCAAAAACATTCAAATATTAGCTATTGTAACAAAAAATTGAACTCGTATTCAAGAAAATGAGGGAATAGATCATCACTCCGTACAATGAAGTAGTTGAAAAGACAATACAATTTTTCCTCCTCTTCCAAAAATGATGACAGTACTAAAGCAGAAAATTCTACACCTTCCGAGCGAGGGTCCTCTGCTTGGTTGCATGCTGAACTACTTGTTCCTCTACAGGTAGTCCTTTCCTCCGCCTCACAGCATCAATGAGCTTTCTGGCTGTATTTTGAACAACACTAGAACCGTCTCCAAACTCTTCAATCTCTTCCTCTGTCTTAGGAACAAAGAAAGGATCCTCCACAAGCTGTTCCCAGTGACTAAGAACAAGAAGTGCACTTGATGACCCAGAAGTCCATTTCCTAAGCTCATCAGCAAACCCAAAGCTTTCAGCAACTGGCAAATAAGCATGCACAGTGAACAAAGGGGAACTTTCTTGCATTTCTTCCTTCACTACTCGGGCTCTCCTACGAGCAAGCACACTATACATGGAACCCAGATAATCAACTGGGGTGTTTAGTTCACAAAAGTACATAGCTTCAACAAGACGAGGTTTTCTCTGAAGTACAGCAGCTCTGCAAGCCTCTTTTACTGCAGTCATCACCTGACCAGTAAACATTCCATATTGCTCCATTAGTTGTTGAGAATTTTCAGGATCACTTGATTGAATCGATGCTGATGAAATGTAAGCCTCAACAATAAATGCCAAACCCCACATAGGCTCATCACACAAAGGACCAGCTGAAGTTGCAATTTGAAAGCCAGACACCACACTACTTGCCAGACTAGCAGCTTCAGCATAAAGCGCAGAATTTGCCTCCACGGCACTATCAGAATTTCTAGTATCATCTACAAAACCTAATTTTGCAGACACATGGGAGAATCCAGGCACAATTATGGCATCTTCAGTACTTTTTCCTATAGAATCTGGGGTAATAAGCAAATTAGGGCCAACCTGCCCAGGACCCAGAGCCCAGATCCTCTCAAGAAGCTGATCCCACAAAACTTTACACTTTTGAATCTTATCAGTTTCGTTTTCCGGAATAGCAGAAACAATATCGCTCTCCACAGCATCCCTTATGCGTTTCCTAAATGCTTCGAGAGGCTCATCATCTTCAGCAACAGAGCCTATCTGTGACTCCAACTTCTTATAAGTCTGACCAAGTTTACCACTAATGATTTCCCCAAGTGTGTCAGAATTTTCATTAAGCAGCTTTGTTAGAGCATTTGGAAGCTTCATGACTTGCACTCTAACAGTGCATCTTCCGTTAGATGTTGTCTTTTCTACATAATCTGTGTTTCCAGACAAGATTTTAAGATTATCTAATGGATTAGGCCCTTCACCCTCAATAGTCTCTTTGTAGGAGACAAGTGGTGGAGACACTTCCAGGCTCACCTTGGCAAATCTTTCCTTCAAATCCTTAATACATCTCTCAAGATGCACCTCTCCAGCAGCAGCAAGCACATGTTCTCCCCTAGACGAGACTGAAACTTCCACAAACGGATCAGCACGATTCAGGAGCCTCAAGCCCTTCATGAGTGCACCCATATCTGCTGGATCAGAGGGCTCAATGGCAACTTTAAGCATAGGTGAAACCTGAAACATCAAGCTCGAGAAAGGCCAACAGTTCTTTGTTGATGAAAGTGTAGCACTTTTTAAGATATGATGCCCCAGTCCTCGTATAGCTACCACATTCCCAGCCGTGGCAGATGCAACAGGTGTAAGACCCTGACCCATCATCAGATACAACGACTGTAATTCTGCTTCCTGCAAATGCTTCTGTGTTGCTTCTCCTTTCAGCGGATCATACAAAGCTGAAAGAACATAGATTTTCTGCCCAACAATAAGGGTTCCACTAAAAATTCTAGCAAATGCAAGAAAACATTCATCTGACTCTGTGCTGTTCCCATTTTCATCAATGAAATCATTCAAAATGTCCCCATCTGGATCCTTATGAGGAATCATCTTCGTAGGGACAGCAAACATCTTGGCAACAAAAGCAACAGTAGGTGCTTCAGAACTAGCAGCACAAGTTTCAACACACTTCCTCACATATTCAGCCTCTGAAAACACCTCAGATTTTGCTACTTCATCCACGACTTCTCTCTTTGGAAGCAAACGAGGGACTCGGTATGCCTGAGCAGTAACTGGATCCGGCATACATCTTATAACCATGGACAATATGGCCTCCGAGAGCGGAAGCCAACGACTCATAATAGCTTGAAGAACAATCTTAGGATCCTTATTATGCTTTTCACGGTCTGGCACTACTAACTTAAACCTCTTCATCACCTTCTCAATTATCCCCTTATCACCATCAGGCTCAAGAACCCCTTGATAAAACTGCCACAACGGTTTCAGTACACACTGAACAAACATAGGTTGAGCTGTACTCCCTTCACCCAACCCTTTCCTCCCCACTATCTTCCCTGTTTTAGGGTGACAATACCAAGGACCCCATAAAGCCTTCTTCATTGCCGCCGTTTTTAACTTAAACTGTTCGGCATAAAACTCGGCAAACTCCCCTACAGTAAACCCCCATCCATCCAAAGCACAAACAAATGCCACATTACCCTTTTGAGGTTGAAACATTTCTTCTTCATCATCCTCAATTAACTCATGAATTTCATCAACACCCATTTCACTAGATGAGCCAGTAAGTATAGAATCTACATCTGACAAATATTTCTCTGATTTATATGCACTCACTATACTATTTACTTCATGAACTATAGTCAATAACCTATTATAAGCTTCCATTGGAGTTAACTTCAATTCACAAATTAACCTATCAATCTTATTCAAAACCAAACAAGGTGTTAGCTTCTCAACCCAAGCTTGCCTTAAAACAGCATGAGTTTGAATATGAACACCTTCAACAGCATCAACCAAAACTAACGCACCATCACTCAATCGAGCGGCGGTCGAAACTTCACTACAAAAATCCATATGACCAGGAGAATCAATCAAATTAATAGAATGATTATTGTATTTAAGAGCAATTGAAGAACTTTTCATGGTAATTGCTCTACGTTGTTCTTCATCTAAATAATCCATGAATTTCATCTTACCTGCTTGTTTAGGATGCAAAACTCCTCCAGCAGAAGACGCAATTAGATGATCAGCAAGTGTAGTTTTGCCATGGTCGACATGTGCAAGAATGCAAATGTTCCTCACTTGTTCTTGAGCAAACCCTAATTCCATTTTTCCCGATGAACAATTTGATGAATTGGGGATTTAGGAGAGAGAAATTTGTGGTTGCCGGAAGTAAGGAAATGGTGGGTCAGTTGAAATCGGAAAAGTTTTGGGGATTTTGCAATAATAGAAAGAACAACTACTAATTGTCACGGCACCGGTTTTAATCGATGCTTCGCCCACGGCAATCCCTAATCCTTAGGTGCCCACGGCTTCTACTTTAGTCATAAACTCGGTTTTTTTCCCGGTTCGTGCAATGTATGAGCTTGAGAATGAAAATAGTGTATGCTTTTATTTTTATTTTTTTAACGATCAATTAGAATTACACCAAGTTAAGTTAACTTTTGCGTCCAAGTTATGAGTTAGCACGTGGCTAAATAAATGTGTCAACTAAAATAAAATGGGGGATTTACAATAGTAACATTTACAGATTAACTAGATTAAAAAAAAAAAAAACACACACTCACACACCTAGGCAATAGTAAGGATATTCAGAGTATGCCTAGAAAAATTATTTTTGAAGAGTCGGGCAGTGAGCAAAGAGTACCATTCAACCAAGTTTGAAGATGAGATTTTGGTTGGCTGTTGATCTAAGTTGTTATGAATGCGCTGTATATAGGATCCATGCAACCAGCACAAGAAGTGCACAACATGCACTGGGGAGTACGGCGGAGGGGTACAACCAGCATCAAATGCTGATTTAAGGAATTGATTTGTTGCACCAGTGTGCAACATTAAGCACGTATGAACCACTTCCAGGTGAACACTTTGCGTGTAGTTGAACACCAACAATCTCTTGGTTTAATAGATAAAATTTTAGGATGCTCATATAAGAAGCTAGTTTTTGACAGGATTTACCAATATATTAGCTTAATGGTTGCTCATTTACTTATGTGCTTATGAAGGAATTTTTAGTTTCATTTGCTTCATTAGTGTGGACAAAGGTCCCTTTGACCAAACCACACAAATCCCTTGAGTTCATCTTCTTTTATCCTATTCTTAATTTTTGTTCAATGTAGCTGCTGTCTTAGTTTATTAGAATTAAACACAAATCCAATCCAATCATAGCACAAGTTTCACCCTTTCCTCTCACAATAAGTAAATTCAAGAATGATAATCAGAGGCAATCTACATGTATTGAATGCAGGGGGGGAAAAAACAATGACAAATTGCAGAATGCAGTTTTCAGTCCATAGCAAAGTGAATCGACCAAGCAAAAAGTAACACGCATTCGTTATGCAACAGTTGATAATAAAATTATACATACATGAGGTTGCACTTCCATCCTTCCACCAACAATAATCAGTCCAGTATCTCCATGCTTGATAGTATAATTGCTTATTGAAATTGCAACCTCTCTGTGGAGAGCATTATGAGGAAAATCTTCCTGAGCACACAGCAAGCAATGAATAAGGTTCAATAACAAGCCTTTGACAATGTTTAACTAGAAAAAAGGGTAACCGATGTCGTTAATTGGAGGAAACATAATTGCGTAATTATATTTGGAACCCATGACCGTTGCAAATTCCAA